CCGCGCGCGGCAGATGGAGCTGGAAGCGCAGGTGATGCGCATTTGCTGTGAGGGGCGGCCCAATCTGCTTGATGAGGCGCCTCAAGGGAGACTTGGCAAGCACACTTTGGGCCCTCTGTGAGTCGCCCGTTAGGTGCAAGAAGTGCTCAACCAGGCCTGGGATTGCCATGTGGATGGATCTTGTCATGTCGGTTGCGGCTTGAACGTGAGCCCAGAGAGAGGTCCTTTTGCTCGTTGCAAGGCGAGCTGCGAGGAAGACACGCTGAAGGCATTGGAAGTATTGCGTATGGTGGAGTACCTGTGCTCCGGCCGCCGCACCATGATGAGCGTTTGGCCTTTGCCAAGCGAGTCTGTGGAAGTTGAGAAATGGCGCGAGGGCAGGGACCTCATGAGGTTGGGTGGTGTAGATGCCTGGGACGTGAATTGATTTGGGCAGCATCTGAGGCTTAACAGTATGCAACAAAGGCCTCCTTGGAATCACTAGCTGGTGCCATAGGCAAAGAATGAGAGAATGACCCCCTGTAAACCATCCCTTGTGGTTTCCTTTAAGGGAATCCCCGGTTCATTTCCTCATTCCCTACTGAGCACCAGCATGACTGAAGGTTTCCCTTGAAGCGATGCACAAAATCAGCTTTCGCAGATGTGCTGCTCGGCTTGCCATGCTCAATGGCATTCAGCCGCCGGCTGGCTGCGAAGGCAGAGGAGCAGGACAGGGAAGATGCTCTTGATTAGTGGCACTATGGCCATGGCCGAGTGCATGCGGCAACATGCATGTTGAGAAGCAAGAAATTCAGTCAAGCTTTGTTCCTGAATTTGACTTGCTGCAGGAGACTTCAAATGAGGTGCCGGATTTTCCCAAGGAGCAGCGCTCGAGATGGCTGCCCGCAGGCATTCAGGACTTGTTGAGCCCAGGCAGCATTAAACCCTCCAACTTGTTACCCGGCTGTAGATGGAGGCGACCTTGGTTCTAGAAAATGGTTTTGGATGTGGCTTTTGTGGATCCACTCCTTGTCCGACAAAAGGGGGAAGAACAGGTGAAATCCAGACACAACGCATCTAAACCATTTTCTAGATCAGTCTCTCCAACTGAGGAGGACGCACCCAAGCACAGCTAAGCATGTCGACCGCGGAGTTTTGCTTCCTCCCGAATCTCTTTTCTGCTGGACGGAGGCGGACTTTGAAATGTACGTGGCCGCTCTTGCGCACATAATGACAGCTTCTTTTTTTTGCAAAGGTGTGCTTCATCAAAGGCCGATTGCATGGGTCCATATATGAACCCATGGCCATGTGGGACGCTTTGGGGGCTGACTTTCTACAATCCAGCCACGAACAACGGTGAATTAATCCATAAACCAGGGGTTCATGCCAGGGGTTCATTTATGGACATCTACATTCAGCCTTTGACTTCCTAGCAGGCCTGCGGAAACTGAAAATCGAGCTTGCTCCCGGGCGCCGCCAAGGCGAGCTCGGGCCAGGTGAAGCCCAAGCTGAAGCTGTTCTACTACTTGTCCCCAGAGTGCCCGCAGACCATCGTGGACCTGGTGTCACCTGCGCTGAGGCAGCTGAACTGGTCATGCTCTGTGGCACCAGTCTCGCCTCCAGGCTTTTGAGCGACCGACATGTCAAAGAAACCGTAATAGCTAAGTTGTCTTGTGTGTGGCTAATTTATTTTGTTTTCTTGAAACCACATTAAACTGTTGTCTTGTTTGACTTGTTTGGCTTGTGCGGGTTCCTGTTGCTTGTGTTTCAAGCACATCTTAGGCCTCCAATCTTCATTTGGGAGGGCTCCCGGCGCAGTATCGACCTCGCCCCCACCCTGGCCCGGGGTGGCCTCGCCAACCGCGTGGCGGGGGCATTCGCGATCACCACCAAGGTTGGGATGCTGAAGGCGGTGTCCGGTGGCTGAGTTTAAAGTGTGGGTATGGGTCAAAATTAAACCACCAGGATATGGAGTGCAGGTTTAAGTCCTTCTTTCCATTTAACAGGGTTCCATTTGTGGCACCTATTTTTGACCCACAGCCATGTGGTATGTGCCGGCTTTCGGCTTTCGGCCGGGTGCACAGCTGCCAATGTCTTTATTGGATAAACTCAATGGGTACGTGTCAAAACTGAACCACCGGGATATGGACCGCAGGTGATGGTCCTTGTTTCCATTTGCCAGGGATCCATTTTGGGTACCAATTCTTGACCCACACACAAATGGCAGGAATGTCCGGAGGGTGAGGTCTGCATGCCTGATAGTTGATTGCTTGCAGCCATCCGAGTTTGTACACTCTCTGACTCCAAATCCCTTCCCGATTCCCGGCCCGGCACAGCTAAGGCGAGGCTGTTGCGCGCGCAGCGGCGGCTTCCCGCCGTCCTGGTACCCGCTGACCTTTGAGTTGCCCTCAGGCATGGAGGAGTGGAAGCAGCTTCTCGGCTTTCAGACTTAAGCTTTCCCCGACCGGCTAAAGAAAGCACCGGGCCCAGGCATGTTCACGAGCACCCAGAGAAGCGCTGGATCTACAAGCCAAATGGCACCTCGCTGGCGATCGGCTGGAGCTGGGCACGGCAATGGCATTTTCGCCTTGATGAGAATAAGGTTGACCCCTTAGTTAAACCTCCAGCCACAAATCAAGGTAGGTTATGTTCTGAATCCCCACTAAACCCAAAAAACACCCCCCCCATCAAAATAACCAGGGGTTTGTCAATCCGAGGTGCACACTACTAATCAGAGGTCAGGCTATGCTGCTGTTCGGCTCGAGGTGGGGCTCGCGGCATTGGCCACATTCTGGTCACTTCCGTTGCCGACGTGGACTCGGCGGAGAAGCCGTTCCGGGAGCGCTGCCGTCCGCTGCGTGCGGAGGACCTGTCGCTTGGGCGGTAAGGTTGAGAGACAAACGGCTTGTAAGAAAGGGCAGCTACGGAAGCAGGACCTGCCGCGTTGCCGAATCAACTGCTCTGAGAAAAACGGCTTGTTGAGCAAGGGCAAACGCACCGGAAACGCGACCTGCCGTTTTACAAATCAGTCGTGCCTTGGCGAGGCATGCGTCACCACTGGAGGAGCGCGGCTTGGCTGCAAGGAGTGCCAGGCCTCATGACCTGATTTGGATGGATGGCGTTTAAGGTTTCTTTGCCCCCAGCGGCGTGATTCAGGACCTGCGACACTCTCGTGTAGAGACATTGTCGCATTGTGGCTTCAGAGTGGTTGCAATGCAAGTCCTGCGGGAGTTTGTGCATACATTTCTCATGTCGTTCCCGAGGAGTATGTTCAGGATTTGCAGCTTCTTAAGGGTCACAAGTTGCTGGGCTGAGTTCATGAAAGCGGCTTTTGGGAACTCTCACTTGCACCGTCTCTTGACCAAAGACCGCCTCACCTTGGCTTTTGACGACAGCCCTCGTTGCCAGACCGTGCCTTTGTTCGGAGATATGCATGCCTTTGGAAGACAACAGAGGTTTGCCGTGAGGACCTACCTGAAACTCAGCTGCAGAGAGCATGGCGTGCGTTGCAGTCGTGGCTTCGTGCCTACTGCACCAGGCTCATTGCCCGGGTGTCGCCTTTGCTGGTGCTGCTGCATGGCGCCGCCTACGCCAAGGTCTGCGGTCAGGCCTTTGATGCGGCGCGCTTTACACAGGACATTGGGACTGCACTTAGCGAGTGTCACCACTGCGTTTGGGAGTTGTTGAGCATGTGCACAGTGTTGATGCCCTTGCATGTTCAGTAGCTGTAAATGCCGCTTTCCAGCAATGCTGCGTCGATGTGTCGATAGTAGTTGTGCAGCTGGTTCGGGTGTGCTGGGGGGTTTGTTTGTGCTCGCTGTTCGCGGTGTGCTTCTTCGACTTTTGTTTGCTTCATTGGTTTCGCCCGGTCTAGGCAGAGGAGGGGGGATTGAGAGGCTAGATTGAACCAACTGAGAGTCCTTGCCCAAGGCCGACCTTCTCAGGCATGTCGCTCAGATGCAGACTAGTGTGTGTTGGTCCTTACGCAGTGGTCCCCTCTGGCCCGCCACGCAGTGGATTTTGAGGGCTACGAAAATACCGGGTCCTTGGAGTCAGCATTGGTGTTCTGGGGGCTGCAAAAGCAAAGTTGTTTGCTACCATACCACGGGTTGTGAAGATGGTTGCTAGGTTTGATTTTTCTACCATATGGGCTGTGCAGGGCAGTTCTTCTGGGGCTGTGCAGGTAACCGAGCAGGAGTTTCAGAAGAAGGGCGGCGAGGTGCATGAGGATTGGAAGGACCCGGTTGCGTTTCGGTGGGACCGCTTGCAGTGATGCGGTCCTCCGCCCACACAGGGAGATTCGAGGTTTTTTCAAGCTGCCTGGGACAGGTTTGGCCGGTCATGTTGCTGGATGACTTGGCTGCGGAGCTTTGCCAAGATCCTGGACGCTTGGACGAGATGAGATTTTGAGGTCCAGTGCCAAAGCCAAAAAGAACCCCTTCTGCCTACGCCATTGGTCCATGTTGGTTGTGACGCGCAGGGTGCTAAGCTATGCTTCAAGTTTTTCTTGCTAGTGCGATAGGTAGGGAATCACCTTCCGGGTGTTGGGAATGAATATAGGGACCTGGAAAGCCGTATGGCCGTTTTTTTTTGGACGGAACCCGTATTTGGATCATTTTTCCCGTATGGTCAGTTTTTGCTGGCCGGTGGCCGTATTTGGCCGTATGCAACCCGTATTTTTTCAACAAATTGTTGACAAAAAGCCGTAAATAACCGTATGGTCATTTTTTTGTGGCCCAAGCCGTATGGACAGAAAAAAACGTCACATATGGGTTTCCAGGGATCTCATTAAAGGAAACTAGGATGGTTGTCTTCGGCGTCATTTCTCATTCCCTGCCTGGGAACCAGCAAGTGCATAGTCACGACTTGGCACGCGTCTCAAGGTTTGGCGGCTCGCTGGACCTCATCTTTTTGGCAGCAGGTCCGGGGAATTTGCTCGCAGGTCGTCGAGAGCTTCCGAGAAGCTCTTCGTGGGGAGCCCGGCTATGTGAGTCAAATGCGAAGGCAGAGCTACGACTTGCGCCTAGATGAAGAGTAAGGCACGGTCTCAGACATACATGTATAATTATGTATATGCCTATATGGATATATATATATATATATATATGTATTTGTATAGGTGCCGCCGCCCTGTTAGTTCTTTACATGATTCTGGGTCCCGGCCATTCCAATACCCAGTGGGTTTTGATAATGACTCAGGTGAGAAGAGCCAGCTGGGCATGTTTGAGATTCTTGGCTTGGACTTCGTTTGCAAGGCGGGGAGGTGGCCTTCTCTGAATGGCACGGCAAGCCCCCAAGAGTTAAGGCGGGAGAAGCCAAACCGCATGGCTGTGGGTCAAAAATAGGGTCACCGCAAAATAAATGGAACCAAGGACTAAACCCTGCGGTGCCCTGGTGAGATTAACGCCCATATAGCCATACCCGAAGCCTGCCCTTTCCCTCCAGTGGTCCAGGCTGATGGCTCCGTCACCTTTCTGGAGGCGAACCGTGACCCATCCTGGGTCATTGATGGAGGCGCCAAAGCCGCCGCTTGGCGTTTTCCCGTTCGCCTTGGGTTTGAGCGAGGCATCTGAGGGGATGGAGCCACGATTTTTTGCAGGGTCGCCGGGGCATGTGAACAGTTGCGTGACTTCCTAAACCTTCCTTACACAGCTTGTGGCAGTGGGAAGCTGCGGAAAACAACTTCCAAGACTTGCTTAGATCAAAAACATGCAGGCACTGCAGGATCGTGCAAGCTTTGGGTCAAATGTATGTTTTCTCGAGTTGCTTCCCTTGCATCACACGGACCCTCGCCCGAGTCCAGGCCATCATTCCCAACATGGTCAGCGATATGCACCTTGAAGCTGCAACGGATGCCGTTGTGGGGCCATCCAACGGCTTTCATGCAGATTGATGAGATGGTCGTATATCAATGGGATGCATTACGGGCAGAGGGTGCGCATTTGTCATGCATGTTCAGTTTGTCTTGCATGTCTTTTGGCCACTATAGGCTGGGCCACGTTCTGCGAGCACACTGCGATCCAAGCCAAGCGGGCACATGCCTTTTCACGACGCCCGCAGCACGAAGCTTGTCAGGGGCGTGCTGGACGGGAGTGTACCATTTGGAGCTGCAAGAAGATTTAACCGGTGGCATAATTTAGAACATGCCCTCATGGGATGCAGGCTATGAGGAACTTGCCAAACATTCAGCGAGTAGTGCTCGCTCCCTCGCATTTTTTTCGCCTGAACATGGCGTCACACAGCAGCTCCAAAGTTCACCCGTGCCCAAGGAGACCATGCTTTCAAGTTCGAGGTCCTGATCGATGATGCACATGGCGCCCAGGGTGGCTATGTGCTTGCGGAAGAAAATGCGCCGATCCGCATGCTCGCAATTCGTGCCCACCCATGGCTTTGCAAACCATCCATGGGGTGCGATGGTTTTTGCACGAGCCCTGTCGGCACGGCTATCAGGAATGCTGCCTTCTATGAGGGCGAAGAGGCGACAGCGAAGATGTTAAAAGTTCTGCCTTGGTCAATTCTCTCTTAGATTTGCTGGTGCAGGGAATGAGAGAATGTCCCTTACAAACCAACCAACTGGTGGTTGCCTTTAAGGGAATCCCTGATTTCATTCCCACATTCCCCACCTACCGTACCAGCAAGAAAAACTGGCATGGCGACCGATCCGAGCCTCGCAGGCTGGCCCCATCAGCTTGGCGGGCAGGCATGGCTGGTGCAAGTTTTAAATCTCAGATGCCATGCCTGTAGCTCTTCACATCACCCACACCCGTGTCGTACCCGTGTTCTACACTAGCGGGCGCGTGCGCGCACACGCCCGCTCGGGGTCCCCTCCCTTCTTGTTCTACGTGTTGCCCTAAAGGCTTGCTTGTTAGGTTGAACTGGTTGTTAGACGACGATGACCGTTGTAATTACAACGGTTGGGCCACTCAGTCAGACTGCGGGATGCGTGTAGGATGCGAGGCTTGAGCATTGCTTTGGATGCTCAGCCTTGGCCCATGGTTCGGTGTTGCAGCCCCTCTTGGCTTGCTCGCACCCAGTCCGGCAGCAATGCTACCCCTGTAGCATTCACAGAGCAGCCAACGTCCGTCCAGCGGCCCGGCTTAACAGTAGAGTGACCCCGCCGTTCTTCTTGTTTACACCTTCCACCTCTTGCGGAGTTGTTGATTTTTGTGAACAGTCTCGGCGAGGGGTTGGGACACGTTTCGGGGGCCCCGAGCGCCAAACGTCCCAAGCCGCGCCGTTTCGCTTCCGGCCCAGGCGGAGCCTGAAGCCATGGTTGCCATTCGGAGCTCCATGATGAGGGACCGGGGCCTGGCGCCAGACAAAGGCCAAGATCCGCCGGGGGGCTTAGTGCGCGAGTTACCGCAGGCCCGTTGGCCGGCATGGGAAGAAGTTTGAAAGGGAAAGGGTTCTGATGGGATATGGGTGCCAGGCTTTCCTCATAGGGCTGCTGATGCTGCCGTGGCAGAGACGTTGCGACCATGAAATTGCTGGTCTGACGTTACAAGCGGACGTCGAATGCCTTTTGTTCGGATGCGCCGCCACGCCCTGCCTTCCAGTGCCATTAAAAGGGAAGCACGGTTGATTGGAATGCAAGATCTCTACTCGCCGTGGCTCGCAAGGATGGAGGACAATGACATGCTGCGGATGAAGATTCTTCGGGAAAGAGGCGCTTCGCAGTTGGGGCAAAGAGAGTTGCGAAGAGCAAAGTCGCATATTGGTTTTCCTTGACCTGTCTCTTTAGGGCTATTTGGTTGGATCTTCGGACTTTGACTGTTCGGGAAACAGTGGATTGGACCCACAAAAAGTGAACAACTTTTTTGCCGGCTGCCGCCAAGGTCTCATCTCAACAAGTTTGTCCGCTTGAACTTGAGACTGCAACACAATCGCTTTTCAGCGATTCGTGCAAAGCTTGGCAGGCCGAGCATCAGTGGCGCCGCCGGCTCAGAAACAGCTTGGCATCGGTGTTTGACCTTCCATTTTGCATGGGCGGGCAAGAAGGGACATGATTTGGCTGAGCTTGAGTAGGTTTCATCTCTGTGCACGCTTGATCAGTGTTGGAAGTTTGTACGCCCTGGAAAACTTGTCGGCTATGGTACCACAGGTTGTCATGTTGCCCTTATCTGGTAGCTTGGATTAGCGGTTTGGGGGCCAGAGGGTAAATGGGAAACCACCCCCAATCACCAAACCGCCAATCCAAACCAATATTAGCCAGGTTTCAAAGGGATTTCCTTTGCTGGGCTGAGTTGCTCTTGTCCATTGAGGCAAGAAAAGGTGAAGACGGTGGATGAGCAAGACTTTGAGGCAGTACTCAGAAAGGCGCGGCGACGCGCTTGCCCGCTGATGACTTGTGGCACGTACCAGCCGTTGGAAGCCAATAGTGAGGCCTAGGTTATATAAGCGGGAGGCGGCTGGGGGTGTCTTTTTTGGAGTTGGTAGCCCTTTTGTAGTGAACACCCACATGTTGTCCTTTTCTTTCTGGGGCTTTGAAGGAGAACCTCACGGAAAACCGACGCGGTTTTTGGGTGGTCCAACCCCAAGAGACGAGCCACCTTCACCTCCTTGCAAGGAAGGCATTGGAACCGGCCTTGACCTCCTTGCCAGCAGCCTCTCGCCGCAAGTGGCTGTGCAAAGTTGAAATGGCCCCCAATATGGTGGTTTTCGTTCTGGCTTTCCTTTGCAACGGCTAAAAAAAGGCACCCTCAAGAAAAGAAAGGGACAGTTAGATCCATTTTCAATTAAGCTCAGGAACTATCGTTGAGCGGCCGGCTTTTGACCTGGTCCGGCACCTACACCTCTGCGAGAGCCGTGTTTTTGGTCCCACGTTTCAAAGGACGCGCGGGGAGAAACGCAAACTGATCTTCACCTTGCTTCTCAAGTGGCAGGTCATTGCACTTGCCATCATTATCAACTCGGTGGTTTTGGGCCTTGAGATCGACCTTCGCGAGCACCTTGGTATCTAACGTATCTAACCACTCCGCGCGTGTCAAGTGGATCGAGGGCAAGTCACAAGGCACTGGGTCTGCCAGAGCTAGTTCCTTCTGCCCGTCAGGCATACCCCAGAGCTTGTTTGGCTTGTTTGTGAGATGCTCGGCTGCAGTGGCAAGGCACTTTGAGCAAGGCACTCATGCAAGATGACAAATGTTCGATTGACTTTGAGCCGAACAGATGCAACTGTATTGGGTTTTGAGCCTGGTCGCCTTCACAGAAGCAAGCTGAGTGTCGATCAACAAAGTGCAGTGTAATTCCGGGGGCCTGTCTGCTCCAGTTGGTTTGAGGAATGTCTTTTGCATTATTTGGATCCTGGAAGCTGCGCTGAAGCTCTTCTTCCTGCGAGGGCAGTACTGCTGCGATGCATGGAACTGGCTAGAGCCGATGCCGCAGAGAGGGGGCTTCGGAATTCGGAAGCCTTCCGAAGCCGTTCTTGCTTTTGATGGAGTGGGCTTGGCCAGGGAAGCACCTGCGAATTGCATGCAGTTTAAGATGCACCATATGTTTAGGGTTTTTCACCGAGTCACTGGTCAAAGGCTGATTGCATAGGTTCATACATGAACCCGTGGCCATTTGGGACCCTTTGGGGGCTGGTTTCCCAGAATTAAGCCATAACTATTGGTTAGTCCACTAGTGGTTAATTATATAATTCCACTGAGTCATTGGGCTGGCTCATGACTCCTTGCATCCCTTGCATTTGTTGGGGCCGAGGACCTGTTCTTGGTGCTATTGTCCATGTACGATGCCTGGGTAGCGCCCTTCATTATGCTCAGCCGCTCGAATTAAACATCCCCACCCTTATAAACAGAATTGGGGGAGGGGGGATTTCGACCCCTGGAGATTTCCATTTGTGGTTCCATCTTCCCCTTTCTGGGAAGACTAGAACAAATGGAATTGGGGGACCCCAGCGCGTCAGCGCCCCATTCATTGGCGCTTGTCAGCCGTGAGGGACTGCCAGGTGCAACGAAGGGCTGGGACGGAACCAAGGCTCCCAGTATTTGAACGTCGGGGTCCTGCGAGTTGTTCGAATGCTGCGGCTGCTCCGGCTGGTGATGCTTGGCGCAAAAGACAGACACCACGCTAATCATGAGGGTCTGAGTTTGGCCGATTTCGCACGCCGCTGGCACGAGGAAGCTATTCCGAGCCACCTGGCGTCAATGCTTTTCGTATTTTGGCAGTGACTCTTGGATCGAGCGTCCCTTCTTTTCGCCCTGAGCTTTGATTTTCCGTGGCCCCGAAAAGCTCTTATTTGGCGCTTTTGAGGGACCTAAGGAAAGGAAAGCTGCCTTTCCCAGCTCTGAAAAACAGCAGGTCCTGGTATGGGGGCTTGAATGTAGGCATGGGGGGGGCTTTGGAATGCAAGGAAGAGAAGCCAGCTCATGGCTGTGGGCGTTTCTGGGGGTTAAATTCTCTTGGCATTGCCAGTTCCGAGATCAGTGCCTCTGACAGTGAAAGCTGAGCAGCGCACGTGTGCGGGCACATTCATTTGGCGAAACTTGACACGTGCCATCAAGGAGTGATGCGTACACTATGAAGTCGGATTCAAGCTCGGGGAGTCTTTTTCCCTTTCCAGGTGATGAGGTCAGGTGCTCCGAAGCCGCTGGCAAGTCAACCCGGCAAAAGCACCCATCCTTTCGCATCGCACGTGACGAGGTCATGAAGATGTCGCGAAACCTTTGGCTGCTGGTGCAAGGCTTTATCGCGCCTTGATTGAATGTGTAGTTGCGCAGAGAGGATGAACAGACTCCACTTATTCCCATCCATGCAACGTGCAAATCAGCACACATGATGCTGGCTGCATTGAGCAATGCTTGTGCCAAGGAATCATTCAGCACTCTGAGCTGGGTCTCTTTTCTGATTCTTTTTGTCATCTACGTGCCCAGGCTGCAAGGCGCCGTGCATGTAGAATTGCGGTACCCGCCATAACTCTTGCCGCGCTCTGACGGAGCTCGTGCCCTGGGCACGCTGCAAAAACCAAAGCACACTGTGTTTCGCACGGAGACAGACAGCCAATCTGAAGGGCATGGAGGGCAATGCGATGATATTCGCTGCCGTGCCAAGGCTTATAGCTGTCTCTTCCGTCACTGGGCAAGCAAAATACAAGGCATGTTCGAAGTCCAGTAGCTGTGGTTCATCATGTGCGTGCTGCATGTGCGCTCAGGAATTGTGGTGGATTGTGGGAAGGACTACTCAGCATGGGTGGATTGCCCTACGCGCAGACCTCACGCCGAATCAATGTAGAACTTGCGCTGGCAAGACCCGTGGCCGAACATTGGCTGAGGATGTTTGGCACAATGCCGAAGGCAATGTACACTCTCTTCCAGGCGGGCAGAAACGGCGCGTCAGCCGTGTGAGCTAACTTGCTCGTGCGAGAGGCAGGGAATGAGAAATGGCGTGACCCCTCTAAGCCATCTCAAATCTAGTGCTTTCCATCCCCAGATTCAGTACCATCCAACTGGTGGTTTCCTTTGGGACTCCCCAAAGCCGGTTCATTCCACGTCACATTCCCTATGCTTTTGGCACCAATCGCCTCAGGTTTTGACCTTGGAGTCCTGGAGCCTCCCAGCCGCAGTAGTCAGGTCTCACGCGGGTCGCAATGGTTCCCTTGTTGGTTTCCAAGAAAAAACACTGGTACATTCCTTCAACGCATGAGAAGAGCTGAATGTGATCGATCTTTTTTTGTGCGAATTGATCAGCAAATTTCAGATACATAGCTTCAGTCAACATTGATTTGCATCCAATTCACATTCTTGAGCAGAGGAGCATGTGTTTTGCGACAATAGGCACCAGGTGTGCCGCCTAGGGTCTTGACAATCACTACCCAAGGCGTGCTATGCCGATGAAGGACTTGCACTGTTCAAAATTCGTCGCGCCAAGGCATACTCATCTCCCGGCCCCTGATGGAAGTTCATCCCGTGCTGGTTGCAACTCGGCAACGGCTTACTGGAGCTGAGCCGCAGCCGGAAATGGCCAGGCTACATTTTTGCTCAGATCGGCATGGCACTAGAAGGCATGTTTCTTTGTGGCTCCCAGCCATCCCCTTAGCCTTTTAGCTTTTTAGTGTTTAGTGGAAGTTTCCATTTAACCCACTAAAAGTTAAACAAAAGCTACACTTTTAGCGGGATCTGAGGGCAGCCCAGGTTTGCATGACGGATTTTCATGAAAGCCAGGTAATCCAAGTTTTGCTCTTCGCCTTTTGGCATTCACCAATCCTAGGTATCAGTGGTGCAGACTTTTGTTTTGCATGGGGTTTTTCCATGCACTAGCAAATGGAGCTCCGATTTTCCAAGCCGGTTCATGCCTTTCGCATCCCCCTTTGGTTTTTTTCTACAGGGTGGGTGGGGGATGAGCTTCCTCTGAAAGTTTTTGGTTTCTGGGTAGTGAAAGGGGGGTCATGCCTCAGGCCGGGGCCCATTTGCAGTAACCGATTTTGTTTGTACAAAATGAGTGCTGCAAAATGCATGCGTTTTGCAAGGGCTTGCGGGCTATGTTGAGGGGTGGTGCTTGGGTAGGTCATTCTGGAGAAATCAGGTTTGGTAGCTTTGGCATTTTGTACAGCGGGTCCAACACTGGTAGGGTTGAGAGCCAACTTGCCCACTACCAAAGGACACCTGGTTTTCAGGGGTGGCTAGCAAGTTGACATGATAGCCATGATGGCCATGCAAGCGAGGTTCCGATTATCTCCTTCATCTTGCTCACAACGTTTGGCTTGCTGCGCAGAGCTTAGCGAGCTTTGCGCTGCCTGGGTAGTGGCGGATTGTCAACACTGTCACCCCGTGCCCTGAGTTGCATCCTATATGCATTTGACGCCGCAGGAACATTATTGTGGGTGTCGTAGTGGAGAACACGCGGCTATTCTGAAGGGTGGAAGCCAGTGCATTGTGTTGTGTGTATTGAGGCTCTGTCGACATCCACGGTGTTTTGAGTTGATGCGCCCAAGAGAGAGACCGCATTTTGCTCTATTGCAGCGTTGGTTGCACCCTTGCAGGGATGGGGGCATCCTAACGCCCGTATTTTTCTGGTGCCGTTGGCAGTGCGCTCTGACTTGCAAACATCTGAGGCTGAGCGTGGCGAAGCAAAACATGGAACTGCAGAACAAGCGGGCAGAGCGTCAGGTAATCAAGGTGGGGCTTGTGCTGGGGGTGAATTGAGGGCCTTGGCACTTGGAGAGTTTCCCCTCGCGGATGGGCCATAGAAGTGCTGAGCGAATCATTTTTTCGCATTCTGTTTTTTTGGGCGAGGGGGGTGGGGGGAGGTCAGGGTAGGCCTTTGCGTCATGAGTTTCGCGGAGAGGGCTCTTAGCTCGCGAGGAGCTGGAACTTCTGAAAACCGTCTTTGAGGAGGCTGATGTGGATGGCAGCTGGCCAAGTTGGAAGTGTGTCAAGGGCCAACTGGCCGTGGTTGTCAACACCAATGGGGTCCCATTTTGGGGGTAAGTGCACCACCCATGTTCGAAACTATTTAAGTGGGGATTGGGATGTTCACTGGGGGTATGGGGTTTTGACCCATAGCCAACTAGGTGCTACGCTGGCCAAGGCTTTGAAGTGGGCGAATGATTTGAGTAACCATCAGAACCCGGGTAAGTGGAGGGTAAGGGACAATCCCGGCCATAAACGGGAGCGGATATTTGCCTTTCCAATCCTTTGCATGATTCTGGGCGTTTGATTGTGACTCATTTCATGCCTTTGTCACTTTGGCTTGGACCTGTTTGCAGGGCGAACGCTGGAGCAAACGCTGGCCAGAGTTTGTTCATGCCTTTTGAGGACAGAGAGTGGACGTTGGGGAACGGCCGGTGAAAGAAGAGGTTGCCGCCCTTGCCAAGGAAGTGGGACGATGGACAAGGAGGAGTTCTGTGAGATCTGCAAAACTGCCAGCGTAAGGCCCAAAGCGCAAAGCGCTCCGACCGTGCGGGAAGGAAGGAAGCCCTTCCCACATGCCGCGTTTGGCATTTCGGACCTGGGCGCACGGTTTTTACTGGTCAGAGTGGTTTGTGGGTTGTGAATGGTTGCGGGGCTGGCCCCCAGCTTTAGGGAGGCTATTCTCGTGGGGGTTGGCCCTGCTTTTTGACTTCAGCCGTCTTCAGCCGTATCCGGGAGTCTGACACTTTGCCATTGCCCATTGAGCCAACTGAGTAGAGCGACCATGAAACTGTCAAAGCACATTGAGGCTCAGGTGTTTGCTAGACATACCCCAGAGCGCGGCCCAAGCCATTCCCACGTTTTATGAGCATAGGTGTCCTTTTTGGTTGTTTTGGTGGAAAAATAGATGGCCCTGGTTTACCTGGTGGTTTAATCATCTACCAGGGCCATCTATTTGCTCTAGAACTCGGCGCTCGCAAGAGAATCCCAACGGACCGCGCTTCAAGACCGCCTCCAGGCGCGCGCTGCATCGCATGGGCGTGCCGCTGGATCAAGCCGAAACCCTTTTTGACATCATCGACGCCGGCAAGAAGGGCGAGGCCGGAGGAGTTTTTTGCGCCAGCCACTCAAACCCCCCCGAGGTGGGTTCGTTATGGCCAAAATTGTCAGGATGAAGTGTCCAATTGGGGGAGTGCAGCTGGATGGTAACCAAGGCGCCATGTGGTCATCTCATGAAACGATGGCTGCGAGAGCTGCGCAACCAACAATTAAATTCTAGTGCAACTCCTAAATTGGAAGTGGAGACTTCGGGCAAGCCGCGCATGCTCATCAGGTCTATTGGTTCAAGATTGTCAGGCTTGCGTGATTCCAAGAAGCAGGGCTCACTGCAAGTCCGGCCAACCAGGTCACTTTTGCGGGCTTCATTGAAGGCGTCAAGAAAGTGGCTTGGCTGCATTCCAAATGCAGAGTTCCACATTTTGACTACCCCAAGTTAGACTTAAACCCAGGAGTTGTGAATTCCCCCCAGAGGGAACCCCCTTGGTTTGAGTCTACGCTGGGGTAGTCCAAAAGTGGAACCCTGTCCAAATGCATTTGCAAGGGCCGTTGTTCAAAGCCTGCTATGCTCGCATAGCTTGCGGAGACTGGAAAGGCTCAGCCCAGTTGTGATTGCCAGGTCCGGGGTGTGCCAACCAACCTTGACATGAAGGTCGCTTGGCTACATATTTTCTTGAGGAACATTTTTTGCTTGAGCAACTGAAGCACTTGCGGTTCCTGGTCATTTGATCATTGCCATGCTCTGCTATGTTCTCAGACTATGATGGTGGCCGTGAGAAATATTTACAAGCAGCAAGTGCGGCTGGAGAAGGCGGGCAGCTAGTTGGTTGTCCATGTTGACAAATCGGATGAGCGAGCTAGACAGGACTTGTTGCAGGTCCTCCCTCAAAGAGAAGCCGTATTCTTTGTTTCATTTTGCATTTGCCCGCTGCAAAGCGAAACTGCTACATCACGATGAACAGAACGGTGGATGGGGGATGGCGGCTTTGGCATGATTTTCGGCAGTAGAGGCAGCGCAAGAAACCATTGCAGGACTCTCGAGACTTGCAAGATAGCCTGCTGGATCTGATCCAGGACTTTTGGGATGCGATTTTGTCTTGGTGGCTCCCAGGCATTCGGTTCCTTAGCTTTTTAGGTTCTTAGTCGGTTTAGTGGTAGTTTCCATTCAATCCACTTCAAATTAAACTTTTAAGCAGGGGATCTGAGGGCAGCCCAGTTGTGAAGATGCTTTGGCCCTTCCGTCATATCACAAGATGCCGCAAAGCGCGCCTTGTGAGACCGGCCTGCCTATCCAGGAAGCGCAGCAGAATGGCAATGTCATTCACCTGCCGCCAAAGGAGGAGATGGATCAGTTGCTGAAGGCACCTTGATGTCATTTCCAGTGAGGCGTGAGGCTAAGTTTGAGGCGTGATTCGATGTTCCTGAACAAGGGGAACTCTAGAAAACGGTTTGGGTGCGCTGTTTGTGGATTTCACCTGTTCTTGCCCCTGTTGGTCCCTCTTTTAGCATTTTTTTAGTACCCTTTTATATATCCAGGGGTGGATCCGCAAGAGCCACATCCAAACCGGCTTTTAGAGTTCCCCTTGTTCAACCGAAGGTGAGAAAGGCCTTTGTCTCGCAGCCGACCACGGCATCCTTCTCCAGTTTGCAGCGGCCTGCGGATACGTCACCAAGCGTTCCACCAACTGTGCCTTCACCGACACACAGTGATCAGGAGCTCAAGAAGCACCAGAGTCGCTGCCCTTGACTTGGGGGCTCCCAGCCATCCGGTTCCTTAGCTTTTCAGCTTTTTAGGGTTTCGCGGCATTTTCCACGAAACCGTAAAACGTGTTCGACGTTTCGCAGGGGATCTGGGAGCAGCCCAGATGAGTCAGGGACATGGATGCAGATAATTCAGTCTTTTGACCAGTGTGAACTCATTCGTGCGGTGCACGCAGTGCGCAGGACCTGGATGCTCGATGTGTTTCAAATGTTTTTGTGATTCGAGACCCGTGCTTCTAGAAACGGATTAGATGCTAGGCCTGTGGATTCCATCCTTTCTCTCCGTTTGGCATTGTCACGCTTCTTCAGTAAATCTCTCCAGGGTATCCACTGCTACATCCGCGTTCCCTGGAGTGGTGGGAGAACTGCCGCGCGCTTGCATGCATCGTGCCTGAGTTAAATCTCAACACCTGGGTATTTGTTTGTCCATTGTTGTCAGCCTGCCGGTCTCTTTATGGCCATTTGGCCGGATGTTTTTGGACTTGAGCTTCTTGGGAAACAATGGATTGCCCATTGGAGCCACAAGTCAAGCACTTTGTGCAGAGGGGTCGTTACACAACCAAGGTCTCTTCATCTCTTTTGTGTTCCATCCGTGTGGGTGCCGTCCGTGTGCGGGGGGTGCCAATCCGTCCAGTTTTCGGCCTTTCCAGGAGGCTCCAAAGCTCACCTTTGGCCGAAAGGCGGGAGCGTCGCTGTGTCTTTTGTGAAGCTACTTCTTCTTTGGTGGCTTTCAAGGGAAAGCAAAGGATTCCACCAGTTTGGGGGGTCCCCGGGAGAAAAACAACTCATCGTGAGTTGTTTTTGTGGCGTTCCATGATTCAAAGAGTGCGGCTTTGTTTCATTTGGCAAATGCCTTTCGGTGGTCCAGTCGTCGATTTCCCTGGCTCAGCACAGAGGTGGGGTTGGAGGGGGGGTTCCCGAACTCGAACAAAAAGCTGGCGTGGACCGAACACAGGGGTCCTGATGTCTTCCATGCCAATCTGTGCTAAGTGGCTATGCGACTGTTTGATGCAAGTGTTTGATGCTGCTTCTTTCAGCTTGGACTTTGGTTAGCAACTTGCCGTCGATTTCGTTTCGCACTTGCTGGCTCTTTGTTCCGTTAGGTCGCCAGAGCTCACAATTGGTCGCCCGTGCTAGGAAAGGTTCGGGCCACTTTCAACCCCCCCTGATAAAAAGGACAGCTTCCACAGCTTCCGTACTGGGCCAAGAGGCAAATGACACGCAGTTCTTGCAAGGTTCCGAGCCCCCTTGCACTAAAATCTAAAATTCGTAGTGCTTGACTTCTTGTGGGTGATGGAGTGGCAAGCTTTCCCGTGTGCCTGCGATAGGTCACTTGAACTGTGTTTCGGGTCGGGCTCGGGAAACAAGACAGATATGCAACAAGCTGCTTGACACACACGCACACATGTTCGCGGGAGATGCAAGGGCTGCAAGGAAGTGCTCTTCATTTTTGCTGGCGAGTCGCCACGCTTTGAAAGGAAGAGGTGAAAGTCAGTCTTCGGGCTATGTGCCGCAACGCAATGTTGACCCCAGATGAACAAACAGGGACTTTTGTTGATATGGGGCGGCGTGTGCTGGTTTTAGTGGGGAATCAGACCACTTTTGGAACAGTACTCCCCAGATTCGGTTGCCCCACATTCAAGGAACCACACTCAAAGAAGGCGCAACTCAGGAGCCAGCTGAGCTCCGAACGGCGGCGTCGCCGGACCTGGAAGATCCTCAGAAGGCAGGATGCCGAGCTCCATGTAGGCTGACTCCAAAACGAATCGACCTGACATGACCTGAAGGGTTTTGGGTTTTTATTTTTAGTCCTGGCCCTCTTGGGGATCTTGGGGCCAACCTTTTATTTATGGGTCCTTGGAGTTCAGACGGAGGAATTCACAGACCGCCAGGTTCGCCCATCTAAACCCCCCGCCGGCCTCTTCTGCTCCAACCTTCTGAACCTACGGACCTGCCGATTGGCCCATGGGTCAGCACCAATGGGATCCCATTTTGGGATAGGTGAATTCACCACCAATTTTAGAACCTATTTTAGTGGTTGGATTGGTTGCTGTTCACTGGGGGCACCATTTGGGTTTGGGTTTTGACCCATAGCCATTTTTGTGCGCCACCCCAAACGCCTCCGCCAAACCCAGCCCAGCTCTCGCGCGCAGGCGTGCCCCGCCTCCGCGAGCACCAGGGACTCGCCCACGGCCATGCCGTGGCCGGAGATCCGGCGGCAGATGCCCAACGCGGTGCAGGCCGGCGGGGGGGTTGGGGAGGTTGGGGCAAAAGGCGGGGGGCGGAGGTGGCTGAAATCCCGGCGGTCGTTTGTTTTTCCTCCTTCTTTTTTTCTCCTCCTCTTTTTCAACTCAAACAACAAACAAACCCACCAATGGCATTGAATGATTTTATGCTCCCCCAAAAGTTGAGCCTGGATGTATCCATTCACCCGTCCCATGGGGGGGGCCTCCAAAAGTGGTCCGATTCTCCAGACCCAGTTGGACACCCTACTGGTAATGAGCTGGGGTTGATTAATCTGGGGTTAACATTGCCATTCTCGACATCGTGGAAACGTTCAGGCACCTGCCATGTTTCCATCAAAAACAAGTTCTGCAGGCCAAACCCCCAAATTGTTGCCTGCAGGCAACAGCGCCGCAGAAACTTGCATCGGGTCTGGGCTATTTGCCACCTATTTTGATGTTCACCAGGGGTACAGGGTTTTGACCCACAGCCATATCAACCTGCTTCCGAGCAGGTGTTTTCGCCTAGCGCAATAGGCGTCGCCGGCCGGTGGAACCTGAGTGCGCAAGCTAAGGATTCCGACGAGGAGGAGCATTCGCCGGAGGCCAGTCCATTTTGCCCTTGTCCTGATACAAGTTCTATGCCCGTGTTTTCGTTTGGTAGATGTCTGTCTCACTTTTCATGCTGCTGAATCTGAGAGATGGAATGGCCCCGTTTTTTTTTTTGGGGGGTTTTTTGTAACAAGAAACAACCAGCACCTGGGGGTTTCTCGGGTCATTCCCTATGGCAGCGATGGCAAGTCTCACCGAACCGACTGGAGGTACGCTTGAGGAAGGTGAACGCCCGGAAGCCCACGAGCCTGGAGAAGAGTCTCCTGGGCTCGCGGAGTCCCAGTGCCGTGGCGTAAGGAGAAGGTTGGGGTCACTATTTGGACTTTTTCTTTTGCGGGGGGGGGAGGGAAGGGGGGGGGGTGGCGTGGAAAAGGTTGGGGCCACTATGGTCACTATTTGGCCCTTTTTAAGGGAGGGGGGTTGAAGTCAGAGTTACTGGAATCGGCGGTTTCCCAATCGACAGGTCTACTTTGGGGGGTGACTTTGGTTCTGGTAGAATGGTGGACCTTTCGGGTGATGATCGTAGAGCATGCCGCCAAGCGGGTCATCGGATGGATCGCGATATTTTTTTTCGGGCGTGTTCCTTTGATTGTCTGTTTGGGTGCCCGTCTTTTTTGGTTTGAAGATGGGCCCCCAGAACAAAGACACCCATTTTGTACCTCTACGAGCCAAGTGCCATATGCGCAAGAGCAGTTTGAACATTTTGCCGAGGTCGAGGTGCCAATGGTGAGCGGATACTGCAAGCAGTAGTGAGAAGATCCTGTTCTTCAGAGAGGCCCGAATGCCAGATCACAAAGCCCAAGCCAGCAAAAAAGTACTCCTCATGTGAGTGTCGTCTTTCTTTAGTGCCGCCCCCCCCAAAATGGTGCTTCTCCTTGTATTTCCTCTCAAAACCAAAAAAAAAGGTTTCCCTAAGAGAAGACACACCTAGCCTTGCATTCTTTCGTGTCTACCCCAGAACCCATCGCGTTTTCACCGGCAGGTTGCCTGTTACGTTGACAGCGAAGCATTTGGACGTTGACTC